ATGGCAATTGGCCACCCCTGCTCACCAAACTCAGTCTAGGCACTGCCGATGTGCTCAGCCCAGCAGCTCCTTCCTTTTACCCACCTGCCCTGGCTGCAGGCTTTGGGACAGAAGGATCCCAAAATCCTGTCAGGACCTCAAGAGACATAAACATTGGCCCTGCCCAACACCGGCCGAGCATACAAAACCACGTCCTCTCCTATCACCTGTCTGTTTCTCTCCCGATGCTCACCTTACTGCTGCTTCTGCTTCTGCCTCTTGCACTTGACCTGCCCCATCCCATCTCCTCTCATCCTATCCCACCCCATCCCATCCCATCCTACCCCACCCTGTCCTATCCCACCCCATTCTATTCCATCCCACCCCATCCCAACCTATCCCACCCTATCCTATCCCATCCCACCCCATCCGATCCTACCCAATCCCATCCTATCCCAACCCATTCTATTCCATCCCACCCCATCCCATCCTAGCCTATCTATCCCATCCCATCCCACACCACACCACCCCATCCTACACAACCCCACCCCATCCCACCCTATCCCTCTCTATCCCATTCCACTCCACCCCACTCTATCCCATCCCATCCTACCTCACCCCACTCCATTCCTTCCCACCCTATCCCATTCCACCCCATCCCTCCCCACCCCACTGCATCCCGTCCCATCCCATCTTCCTAGATGTTCCTCCTCAGATCAATCCCTGATGGCACACTCTACCCTTCTGTAACAGTTCAGCCTAGCACTGCTTTCCTACCCATTTCCCCTAGACACATCTCTCATCTTTTCAAAGGATGTTGTGATGGGTTAAGTTGTATTCCTCCTCCTGAAAATATAAATGTGGGAGTCGAAACCCCTGTAACTGTACATGTGACCCTGTTTGGAAATAGAGGTTTTCATTTGTTCTGTTAATACAGCCATGCCAGGGCAGGGTGGGTCCTAACCCTAATCATTTCTGAATTATTAGACTCTGAATAGACACTGAGACAAGGGAGAAAGAAAGATGCTCTGTGAGAACCTGAGTGGAAGACCAGAAACTAGGAGATAGGCTGAGATTGTGACAGAACTGTAAGAAAATAAATTTCTACTGATTTTTTCCCCCCTTGAGTTGTGAAAAGTTGAGCATTTCTGTCTTCTTCATTAGCACCTTCTGGTTTCCTTACTAAAAAAAAAATGACCTTACATGAAAAGTTCAAGAAATATATCCCAACAGTGTAGAAATTGTTGTCTTAACTGTCATTGGATTCTGGTAGAAGTTGGTGTGCATTTAAAGACCTGTGAAACTAGATCTGTTATTAAAGAAATGCTAGTTGATTGTAAAAAAAAATTCTGTTCTACAAAGCCACTCACTTATGGAATGTTCTATGATAGTACCTGACAACTAAGGCAAATGTCTCAGAAACTTATTCATCTGGTGAACTCCTACTCATCTGTCAAAGCCCTATGTTAAGGCATTTTCACCAGGGGTTTTCTGATTCTTCATCCACTGAAACAAAGCAGATTCTACCTCCTCTTGCAACCACAGGACTCTGAGAGATCACATTACACTGTGATTATTTCCATAGACACCTGTTTCCCCAGCGAGGTGACTAACTCTTCAAGTCAAAGATACAATCAACCTTGGGCTGCTATGAAGAGAAGATAAATGAAGCATGTACCACATTTGACATGGAGCCAGGCACACTGTATACCCACAAATTTGGGCTCTTGTGTTATTCTCCACCTGCACATCCTGCTTTGGGGCCAGAATAGCTGCACGTGAAAGATTGTGTTGCACTGAATGGAAAGACCAGATGTATCTCTTACATATCCAGTCTGGCAGCCCAAAGCACTTCCGATGAAAAAATGCTGAATAACTTGTGTTGGGATAAAGTAGGGAGACACGGGGTTCAAGAGGAGGGAGAAAAAGAGCCAAAGGCAGACATCAGGACCTTCGTTCCAGGAATCCACAGGCTGCTTGCCCCTGGACAAATTCCTGCCATGGCCTTTTCCCATCTAACCCTTACCTGTCCAGTAAGGACATAAGAAATACAGAAGCACTTAAAAGATAACCCATCCATCCCAGAGGCGCATGGTTCGAATCCACCAGATGCTCTGCCGGGGAAGGAGGGACAATCTCCTCCTGAACCAGTCAGATCTGATTTGACGGTACATTCACACAAAAATAAGAAAATAAAATAAAAAAATAAAAAGATAACCCATCCATGGTGGGGACACAAGCCTAAAAGATAAAGTCCCCAGGCCTGAGGAAGCAATCTGCAGGCGAGGAGGAAATGGAGGTCTTATCTCCAGCGCTGAGGAGGCGCCACCTTCACCCAGAGTCCAGAAGAGGACACTAGCAGGTGACACAGAACACGGCAAAGCCAAGCCTGTTCATGCAGCCTCTTTAAACACTAAAGGAGAGGTTTTTCTATCTGTCAGTCCTGCGAGGGGCCCATGCTAATAATCTTCATATTGCTCCAGTTTTAGTATATGTGCTGCCGAAGCAAGATTTTTCTGAAAGAGAAGTCTCAACCAAGACTTGGGCCCACAGTCATCTCCAAGGGAGACCTTACTTGCCACTCTTCCTGCCCCGCTCCATCTGCCGCCTCTGTCAAGTCCAAACAGGAGGCCGCTGCTGCTTCCCTTTGTCTGTGACACTGATGGGCGTGGGAAGTCAATGCAGTGTGGGAGGGAGTTCAAACAGCATCCTTCAATGAACTGCTGACCAGAGGGTGTTAGGATAAAACACATTCCCGTGGCCAAAGCACCGCGTGCTGAGGGAGGCGGTATCGATACAAATCCCAGCCCTGCCCGTGGAGAAGGCTTATTCTCTCATCCCACGAGGCACTGCCAGATGTCAAGTCCTTTTGATGGCAGCTTCTATGTCTCTCCCCACGCCACTGCTGCTCACAGGAAGAATTCTTTCCTCCTCCACAGACCAGCACTTTGTCCATCCATGACCCATGGCTCTCACTGGTCTTCATGGAGAGACTCTGCTCTATGTCATCTTCCCCCTGCCGCCAGACACTGGCCTGGAGCATGGCAGTGCTCACAGGCAGGTTTAATGAGTGAAAGTCATCCAAAGGAATCTACTGGCTGATCTCTCCCTCCCCAGACAACATCCCCACCATCCATTTCTCTCTCTCCCCAGAAAACAAATGTCCAATTCCAACTGGTTATATACAACACTAGTAAACCTCTGAGCTACAGTAGGCAGCCCGGAAGGTCAGGCCTGGTCCAGAAGAGGGGCGACCGGCATTCCCATCTGCGATCTACTGCTCTAAGACCCTGGACAAGCCCCTGACCTCTTTCTTCCATTAATGAAGCAAATGACAAAGGCAGTACTAATATTTAATGGGAGAATCTCCTAAATTGATGACCTGTGTGTTAAATCTAGCTGCGCGATCTATTTTATTGGCTTGCTATTGTGAGATAAATGCATAAAAGACCACAAGTCTAGCATCTGTTGAATAAAGGAATCTGAAAAGCTGATCACATTGGCCCATCTTCTCACAAGGCACAGCTGGCTGAAGCTGAGCAGGAGCTGCTCCTTCCAAATAGGCATTTCCTCTCTAGTTTGCCACAGTCCTCACCACTCCCTACTGTCTTGCAGACCATTTTTGTCACTCATTGTCAACATACTTATCTCTTACGCATCCACATTTATAATCCCTGAGCTCTAGTTCTCAACCTTGGCTGCCTGGCTTTAGAGCAAACATTTAATAAATTCCTAGCCCCTGGCTTGTGCATAGACATTTTCATCCCACAGGCTTTGTGGATAAGGCCAGGGGATCTCGTTGCTTAGCCGCCTCCATCGATTTTAAGTCCAGTCAGGGATGAGAACTCCCAGTCCAAGAGGTCTGCCGTCTTCCTGCATGAAGAAGCAGGTGCCAGGACAGAAAGGATGGGGTAAGCAGACCAGGTTGAAAGCACCTACAGACATCTCTGAAGAAAATAAGTCCTGAATTTGGGCCATCCTCATCAGGTCACCTCCTGTCCCCACTGTGTTAGCTTTTCTAGCACAGATGCGAGGAATTCTGTGGACTTCATTCAGAAACAATAGGCAGATTAGCCATTTCTTGGCCCATCTTTCAGACAACCTCTGTACAAGCTGCTTTCTATCCTTGGATTATATTTCCTAAGCACAACACGCCCACTCCATCTGGGCTCTGCTCAATGCCCACACCTCCTCCAGGAAGCCTGTCCAGCCTGGATTCAGCTATATGAGCAATGCTGGCTCCAGCATCTCATATTCCAGCAGTATTTTTTTTTATCTGTTGCTAAAAACAGATCTTTGACACTTTTCATGCCCCTATAAGTCAGAACACTCTAAAAGGTAGGGATTACCTCTCTTACACCACTGGTCCCCTACAGAGTTTCCCACCTCACCATTTCCCAAGCACACACCACCTGCTAGATTGCAGATCTGCCCCATGTGTCACTGAACAGCAGGCACCCTCCCTACAGGATGGAGCAGATGCTTGCTAAGGGTGGAAGGCTGCTGCAGGAGTCAGGACAGCTGCTTGTGCACCTGGCGGTGCCATCTCAGAAGGATCTATAATGCCCACTGCTGGCTTCCTCCCCACCTACCTGCCAATCTCCCCTGTTCCTTGCTCTGTATGTGCCACGCTGAGAAAATGCCAACATTCTTGGCATCTGTCACTGCTGGACTGAGGAAATAAGACGGAAGAACAATGCTAGACTGGGGGACAGAAGACACTTTGATCAGATCTACTAAGAAATAGCTAGTCCTGGGCCTTGGGACCTTAAATACATGCTGGCTTTTTCAGAACAAGAGTTACTCCAGGGTCCACAAGCTGATGCTGGACAGATCTGATTTACTGACCATCCAGAAGTATGAGTGATGCCCACATGGAGGCCACAAACCATACTCAAAGCCTCTCTTGCGAATGACTTCATGGGTCTAGCTGACCAATCACTGGCATTCCCAGACAGGATCAGAGTCTAAAAGCACAAAGGGTGGCGATGCACTCCCAACCTGCGCCAACCAGGGCCTACCTCGGAGCTGACTGAAGGTGGTCATGAACTTGCTGGTGAGGGACTTGAGCTCATTGTTGGCCAACGTGACGAGGTGGATCTGGTCGGAGACATTCCGCAAAACCTTGTAGATGCCGATGGGGAAGGAGACCAGCTTGCACTCAGCCAGGTCTGCAGCCAGAGGACAAAGACAGGCCAGAGTTATCGGCTGCACAGTCCCAAGAACTTGTCCCGAACCCACATGGTCACCAGCCCAGTCTCCCCCAGCCTCCCTGTGCTCCTAATTCTCTCCACTGTGCCAGGTTTAGGACCCCTACCCGCTTCGTCCAGGAGCCCTTCCCAGCAGCAGTAATTCACCCCTGCCCCTTCCTCCCTCATACCTGAACATTCGGAATTTTTTCCCCCTCCCCTCTTCTTTTCTCTGGACAGGAAGAGACCAAATATACCTCTGATCACTACTCAAAAACTTTTAAGATGCAAGTCACCACTCATCAAAATAGGATGCAGGACATTATCTTTGTGGGCTAGCTGAGCTTGATGTTCCCCCAAGAATATGGTCCTGAGAACCCAGGCCCAATGACTCAATCCTTCAAGGCATACACTGGGATTTTTCCCAATATTCTCTATAATAGGTACCAGTTGAACAACCATTCACTGCCATGTCCCTGCAAACTCCACCAGTCCCTCTGGAGTCATCAAAGACACAACAGAGCAGACACAGTCTTAAAAGACTTTATGATACTCTCCTTCTTTGCCAACAAGCCATTTGCATAGGCTTTGTAGTCTGACCTTCTTCCCTGAACTGACACTCTGAAAGCAAGTCTTGTACAAGAAGCAGCAGGGAAGCTCCTGTGGAGAATCGTCTGACAGTTGCTCAGGCAGCTGACTGGACTATTATTATCACTGCCATTGCCATAAAGTCAGTTCTGACTCCTGGTCACCCCATGTATCAAAGAGTAGAACACCTCCATGTACTTTCTTGGCTATAATCTTTATGGAAGCAGACAGGTAGATCTTTATTCTGTGATGCTGTTGGATTGGTCTGAACAGCCAATTTTTAACTAGTGCTTGAGTACAAATGGACAGGGAGGATACAAGTCATTCTCAAATACCATGTGGCCCAGCAACTCCACTTCTAGATATACAACGAGAGAAATGAAAGCACATATCCACCCAGAAACTTATATGTGAACGTTTCATTATTCAGAATAACCAAATGCTTTAGCAACATCTAGGTCAGGTCTCTGCATCATAAGACCCAAGGCTGAAGGGTAAAAGAATAAAGACAAGGTAAAGATTTAAGTAAACATTAGCATGTGTACTCACAGAAACTACAGAGAAGTACAGAAGGCCAGAAGAAGGGGACACTGCAAGCTACAGTCCTAGAACTTCCATCTCAATGGATCTAGAACTTCCACCACCACCTGACTGTCACGAACATTTCAGAGAGGTCCACCTTGCTTCTACCTAGCCATTCCCTATTTTCATCTGTCATCCTGTAGCTATGACACAATTATCTTTTTTAAAAAG